CGTGATGAGATAATAACTCGATGTCGTTCCTGTTTGGATCGATATTAATTATTTGTACCTAGAAAGCAATCAACGCACATTTTATTCGTATAAAAAACAGCATCCGTATCAATATAAGTAAGATATAAAACATATTCCTGATTATGTTTCTAAATCCAACTAAAAATCCAAATAATTAACACAACAAAAAACATAACAGCATCAACAATAACGATGGCATTTATGCGTACTACGTATATAACTTTCGTTGCACTATTTGTTTTTCTTTTCATGAAACAAAAAAAAAAGAGAAGAGTTAGGCGGAACATCGTACGTCGATGATTCCGTGGTGCTTGCTCACATTAGTTGTCGGGAATATAACGGAGACACGTGTCAGAGAATGATTGAATCGCTCTCTCTCTAATGTGAAAGAGGAAAGTGAAACAGAAAGCTTTAAAGGTGAGAGTGAGGTGCCTAACGAGCATTAGTCATTAGACATAAAAAAATGGTAACAATGAGAGTGAAGTGTTTGGCACAAAGTACTATTCCTATTCTACAAGTCTTTCTCAACCATAAAGCTTTTGTCATCTCTATTCCTTTCTTTTAGGTTTACTATTGCGTGTTCTTGTATCCAGTTTTCGTATTTACGAATATGTTAGGCTCACATTTAACCACGAGGTCTTTATTAGAAGTAAGAGCATCAGCATTGGTGAATTGTTTTAGGTGTTTTTAAATAAATAAATATTAAAAACACACTCTCTCTTTTTTTTACTCAACTTTATATCTTCTCTTTCATCTTTTTACTCAACTTTTATTAATTTTATATTTAAACACACCCCAACTAAAAGAAACTCTCTTTCTAAAAGTGTCTTCCTATACAACCTAAAGACATCCTCTCTCAAAAAAATACCCACTATCTCCTCTTTTTACTCAAATGTTATTAATTTTATATTTCAACACCCTATTATTTCAACTAAAAACACTCTTTTTCTTCTTTTTACTTAGATTTTAATAATTTTATATTTAAAGACACCCACAAAAGTTTACCATTACCGATGCTCTTAGACTCTTAGAGCATCAGTAATGGTAAACTTTTGTGGGTGTCTTTAAATATAAAATTATTAAAATTTAAGTAAAAAGAAAAAAAGAGTGTTTTTAGTTGAAATAATGGGGTGTTGAAATATAAAATTAATAACATTTGAGTAAAAAGAGGAGATAGTGGGTATTTTTTGGAGAGAGGATGTCTTTAGGTTGTATACGAAGACACATTTAGAGAAAGAGTTTCTTTTAGTTGGGGTGTGTTTAAATATAAAATTAATAAAAGTTGAGTAAAAAGATGAAAGAGAAGGTATAAAGTTGAGTAAAAAGAAAAAAGAGAGTGTTTTTAATATTTGTTTATTTAAAAACACCCAAAACAATTCACCAATGTTGATGCTCTAAACCCACTTCCATCGGTTAGAAACTCAAAAAATTTCTTTTTTAATATTTAAAAGAAAATTAATTAATTATTTAATGTTTAAATGACTTAAAACATTTTTATCCAATCAAATAATGACAATTAAAAGTGGATTTTTTAAATTCTTTAAAAACTGGTTCTGCATCAAAAGATTAAACAATTTATTATCTTTCATTCTCATGCGCGCTTTTATCCTCATTTATTACTTGTTTAATGCTTAAAATTTTATTAAGAGTTCACCGATGGAAGTGTTCTAAGAAGTAAGGGATATAGCAATTTTAACACAAGTCTTTGAAGAAACTGAAAGCTTATGCTTCCTCGTATCATTAGATATAAATTGTCAAACAAAAATAATTGACGCTTTTA